ATAGGGCTTTTCCTAATTTTGCGGGATCCGCCCCAAAATCTTCGTCATTTATCCGAGGAATCCTCCTTGATCTTAGGAGGAGATCTTTCATGGATGAGAGTTTTATGCTTCGATTATGACTCTTTGCTGTCTCTAGGATTTTTGTTGATAAATAGCTATTTCTTTATTACTTCCGTTGTTGCTTCGATTGGGCTGGTCTTTACTTTGGTTTTATGAGCTTTGTGTGTCTGACCTCCACTCCTGAGCTCATACTTGGGAATTGCTCTAAGTATCATTAGTTGTCCCCCAACTCTTGGTCAAGCTGGCCTGGGCAAGGGCTGAGCTTAAGATGTAGCAGAATGGTTTCCCAATCAGCGACTTCGAAGTTTGCACGAAATTTTTTTTTTTGGCATGTAGGTGCTCCTGACCTGAACCTGCTTGAATTGATGAGGGTGGAACAAATGACCCAAGCTGAGCCCATGTCTTTTCCTGATCTCATGACGCCAGATAATCTGTTCTTGTTTAGCGCCGCTGCAGCTGAACGGGACTTTCCCTTTTTTCCTGAATTTGATCTCCCTTCTACCGGGTTTAATAAGAGCGAGGATGCTGGGACTCATATCAAGAAACGCAAGAGGGATAGTTCATTCTTTCCTTCATCTAGATCTTTCCTGGGGGAAGTTCTATTTTCCTTTGCTGGGCAAAAATTGATGGATCTACTATCCGCGACTGAGAAGGAGAGGGATAAGCTGAAGGAGGAGAACATGCGTTTGAAAGAGAGGATAACCGAACTGCAGAGACGACTAGGAATTTTACTTTGATTGGTTTTTTTATAATCTTTGATGTTCTTGAAACTTTGATTTTCCCTTTTCCTTGTTTGCCGCTTCTTATACACAATTTGTGGCTTTGAGAATCTGGCAGCTGATCTTCCATGTCGTTTCCTGGCTTGTGGACCAAAGACCCCCATTTTTCCTTTTTGTAATGGATAGAAGCTCTAAAGTTTTCCTTCTAGTCTATGTTCTGCAGGTCTTGCTTTTAGTTCTTCTGGATTGGGAAGTGCATTCTGAGCTGCTGCATTTGCTTTAGGGACAGAAGAACTCGTCCTGAGCTACTAAGCTATTTTTATGGACTAATAAGTTCAACGTGAGCTCCAGGACTCTTTTTATGAACTAACAAGTTCATCGTGAGCTCTAAGGCTCTCTTATTACGGACTAACGAGTTCATCATGAGCTCCAAGACTCTTTTTATGAACTAACGAGTTCGTCATGACCTCCAAGACTTTTTTTATGAACTAACGAGTTCATCATGAGCTATAAGGCTCTTTTTTTGAACTAACGAGTTCATCGTGAGCTCCAAGGCTCTTTTTATAAACTAACGAGTTCATCATGAGCTCTAAGGCTCTTTTTATGAACTAACGAGTTCGTCGTGAGCTTCAGGGCTCTTTTTATGACCTAACGAGTTTATCATGAGCTCTAAGGCTCTTATTACAGACTAATGAGTTCGTCGTGACCTCCAAGGCTCTTTTTATGAACTAACAAGTTCATCGTGAGCTCTAGGGCTCTTTTTATGAATTAATAAGTTCATTGTGAGCTCTAAGACTTTTATTACGGACTAATGAGTTTGTCATGCGCTACAGGGCTCTTATTACGAACTAATGAGTTCGTCGTGAGCTCCAGGGCTCTTTTTATGAACTAACGAGTTCATCGTGAGCTCCATTACTCTTTTTATGAACTAATGAGTTCATCGTGAGCTCTAAGGCTCTTATTACGGACTAATAAGTTCGTCGTGAGCTCCAGGGCTCTTTTTATGAACTAATGAGTTCATCGTGAGCTCTAAGGCTCTTATTACAGACTAATGAGTTCGTCGTGAGCTCCAAGGCTCTTTTTATGAACTAACAAGTTCATCGTGAGCTCTAGGGCTCTTTTTATGAATTAATAAGTTCATTGTGAGCTCTAAGACTTTTATTACGGACTAATGAGTTTGTCATGCGCTACAGGGCTCTTATTACGAACTAATGAGTTCGTCGTGAGCTCCAGGGCTCTTTTTATGAACTAATGAGTTCATCGTGAGCTCTAAGGCTCTTATTACAGACTAATGAGTTCGTCGTGAGCTCTCGGGCTCTTTTTATGAACTAACGAGTTCATCGTGAGTTCTAAGGCTCTTATTACGGACTAATGAATTCGTAGTGAGCTCCAGGGCTCTTATTACGAATTAATGAGTTCGTTGTGAGCTCCAAGGCTCTTTTTATGAACTAACGAGTTCATCGTGAGTTCTAAGGCTCTTATTACGGACTACTGAATTCGTAATGAGCTCCAGGGCTCTTATTACGAATTAATGAGTTCGTTGTGAGCTCCAAGGCTCTTTTTATGAACTAACGAGTTCATCGTGAGCTTTAAGGCTCTTATTACAGATTAATGAGTTCGTCGAGAGCTCTAGGGCTCTTTTTATGAATTAACGAGTTTATCATGAACTCTAAGGCTCTTATTACAGACTAATGAGTTTGTCGTGAGCTCCCGGGCTCTTTTTATGAACTAACGAGTTCATCGTGAGCTCTAAGGCTCTTTATTACGGACTAATGAGTTCGTCGTGAGCTCTTGAGCTCTTCGTAAGAGTGAATGAACCACAGACTTGCTGCTTTATTAATAATCATATTATAGGACAAACTTATTGAAAAAATTTCCTAAGATGTTCTGCATTTTAGGAATGGGGTAAAATTTTCGCCAGGTCTGCTTTCATCCGGGGTGCTCACCTCAGGAATTTTTTATTTTGTACCTCATACAAGAATTGCAATATTTGTTGTGATGAGTGGAAGGACTTACCGAGGTGCGTACCTTGGCTGCAACTCTGGATAAGGTGGTCCCAAGCGATCTCTGACGTCTCCCCTTCTTTTGGGGGATCGATCTCTGTCTCTCCTTGGGGACCTATCTCGTCCTCTTTCTCTACTGGGACTTCGGTCCCTCTTTTACCCTTCTTTTCCTTTGTCTTTTTGCATGGATGAGCTCCCCACTATTGAGAGGTGAGCTTTTTCACCGTTTATGTACTTTTCTGCCTTGGCCAGTACTTCAGCTATGCTGGCCTAGGGATTTTTTGAAATAGAGAACATCAGGTCTTTAGATTGTACGCCTAAACTAGCTATGAATGCAGTAATGACAAATTTCTCGTCTGGGACATCCATTTTTAGTGATTCAGAGTTGAACCTCTAAACATAGGATTTGAGGTTCTCTTGGGGTCCCTGCTTCACATTCAACAGGTGGTAACTCGGCTTTCTGTACGTTCGAGCTCCTATGAAGTGAGATACAAAGGATATGGATAGCTCCTTAAAGGAGAAAATTGAGGTAGGGGGAAGCCTATTGAACCACGCCAGGGCTGAGCCTTTAAGCATGATGGCAAAGGCTCTGCAGCATACTGGATCCTGGTATCCATGCAACTCTATCTGGTTCTTGTAAGTGTTGAGGTGATCTACGGGATTCTTTGTTCCATCAAAAGTCTCTATCTGCGGTACTCTGAATTTTAGAGGGAGGGGAAAATGCAGCACGTCAGTGGTGAATGGAGATTCAGTCTGTTGTACCAAGGCATCGATCGTAACTGGAGCATTGCCTCTCACGGCTTCCTTCATGTGGCTGAGTTCTTGCTAGATACCTTGGAAGCGTTGCTCCCAGTACCGTTCTCTCCTTTCCTGTTGATAGGGAAAAAAATCGTTCCTCTCGCCCCGTCATTCTAACTTTGTACTTTTTCGTTGTGTCTATTTCTGGGGGGTATGCGAGGTTCTAGCCCCATGGTTTGACTGTTTTTTCCTTCTTCATTGACTTCTCTAAGGGGGTTGAGGTGTGGTTGCTCCCTAGGTGGTGGGTTGTTCTGGCCTTCTTGAGTCTGTGGGCATTGTAAGAGCTTTAAGAGTTTTTCGTTTTCTTTCAGCAAGCGTTGATTGATAAGGTGAAGGGCCTCCATCTCGTTATTCATGGGGAGACCCCCCACAGGTGGATTGGTCTCTTGGACGTTCTTAAGTTGTCTGCTATTAGTAGCTTCTTGTTGATCTTGCATCCGTGGTGGATTTGTCTGACTTTGGCTCATATTTCGCGTTGATACAATCAGTCACTGAAAGATTAGTTTATTTATAACAAGAACAATCGTTTTCCACAGACGGCGCCAAACTGATGGTGTATTTCAACGTGAAGCAATTTTGTGATGATGAGTAAATGAAAGAAACAATATTAAAATTATTGGAATTTGAATTACTAGACTCGAGGGAATGATACTGAGAATTGTTGGTGAGTTGGGGGAATTAACACAGTAGAAATATAGTGGTTTACCAGCTCGAGAGCTCGGTTAATCCACTCTTTAATAGAGATTCTTATTCATTCCTTCACTATTTACTATATCAAAAGGTTTATAGAATGTAAGATGTGATACTAGAGTTCTGCCCCTCTGTTGGGGGCGTTACATAGTATTTATAGGGCTTTTCCTAATTCTGCGGGATCCGCCCCGAGATTTTCACCATTTATTCGAGGAATCCTCCTTGATCTTAGGAGAAGATCTTTTATGGATGAGAGTTTTATGCTTCGATTATGACTCTTTGTTGCCTCTAGGGTTTTTGTTGACAAATAGCTATCTCTTTATTACTTCCGCTGCTGCTTCGATTGAGCTGGGCTTTACTCTGATTTTATGAGCTCTGTGCGTCTTACCTCCGCTCCCGAGCTCATACTTGAGAATTGCTCTAAGTATCATCAAATATAATTTACTAACAAAAATTAATGGACAATGACAATATGGATCTAAATAATACAACATATAAATTTTAAGAGATTTGTATATAATATTTTAAATATTAAAGAATTTGAGTGATTAAATAATAAATTTTAGGGAGTTTGAATATAATTCTTTTTTTTAATTATTGTCGGGAATATTCTTATGGCGGATTTAGAATGGATTAAGGGTAAAGTTGAGGTTTTAACTATAACTTTCCAAAAGTGATTTCTCACGTCACGTTTATATTCAAATATGAAGGGGGTGCTCATTGTTTGTTTGCGAACGCAGGCGTTGCTATAAATTTTGTTGCTGAATCTTCCTGCCATCTAGACATTGCCATTTCATACACGACGCTGGACCATCTCCCTAGGAAACGCGGCTATTCTCTCTCTCTACCCTTCTACGCCCATCGGACCACAAACAGGAAAAGCATAGAGAGAAGAGAGAAACAGACAGAACGGAGAGAGAGAGAGAGAGAGAGAGAGAGCGGGCAATGCTGAGATCGAGTGGTTGTAAATTGATTACTGGGTCAAAAGTTTAGGAGGCGAAGAAGAGTAGTAGGAGGTAGTGGGTGGGTATATGGGGAGTGGGACTTGGGTGGATGTGGTTCGTCGGTGGTTTCAACGTCGCTCTGGTTCAGTCAATACTCTTGGTAATGGAAATAGGCATGTGGGTGTGACCGATTTTGAAGCCAAATCGTCAGTTACACCTTCACGACAAGAAGAAAAAAAGGAGTTAACCATTCTTGAAGACTTCAATATTTCTGGCCTGAAGGTCATCAAAGTCCCGAAACGCATCAACTTCCCAGCTTCGTCCTCCATGGATCCTCACAAAAAGGTCTCTCTCACTAATAGATCACACACACAAACGCAAGCACAAACTTATAGATCTGAATGTATTTTGATATTAAAAATGCGATCTTATTTGACATTTTCTGTTATTCAGTGATGTCATAATCATTCATTTTATCTGATAAAAAATCTACAGCTTTTTATTTCTTTTGGCGGTGGGGGATGAGGGTTATGAAGTTAAATTAATGTAGTTTGTGAACCAGCTAGCTCGAAATACGAAAATGAGGATGGGAAGCATAGTTGCCATAACATTTTTTTTCCAATTTCGGGGAAGATTATAATTCTGCATACATTTTTATGAATTGGGCACTAACTAATTGCATGCTATGCCGTTTCAATGGAAAGAAATTGAAGGAGAAGTTTTTTTCTCCTGGGGAAGTTGGAGACTTGCCGTTTTAGCTTGCTCTATTCTCGAGCGAGGGGCCATCGGCTGATGAAATATGGATATGGAAATGGGACACATACACGGATAATAGGGGTATGTAGTTGGCAATCACTAAAGGCCATTGGAAGATAACAAAGGTACTCGGATGTCATGATAATTGGGGAGAACATTTTTATTTTGCTCTCTTTCTCTTTCACTTATTTCTAGCTTTTTTCTTTTTCTAGATTTAATGGTTGTAAGATGGTAGCTTCATTTTCCTTTATTCTTTTCTTTTATATTTTCAATGTTACATTGTAATAAGAAATATAAGATTTTTTTATAAGTCATACTGGACTTCCGTTTTTTCAAAAGAAAAAAATATTTACTGAATGTGTACCTCACATGTTCTGGATGTGATCTTCAAGTGTCTTGAACTTGTCTGCCACTTGTATTGAACACATCCTTAGCGTGCCTGAAATTTTTGAGAAAGTAGACATTTCTTCACTTGTCCATAGGGAGTTTGGTGCTCAGTATGTGTTCAAAATGCTACCCAGGCCTGGCAGAAGTTTCTGTGATTCCTAGTGTCCTCATGGTTGTGACCTAAACCTTGTTTCCGACTTTATTAGGGGCACAGTATGGCTTGCATTTTTGACAGAATAGAAACTTTGAGTTGAATTGCATCTTGAAATGGATTTGATGGTGAAGCAATCAATAAAATTTGAATTTCTTATTAAGATAGTTAATCACACAACACTTTTTCCTTTTGTGAAGGGGAAAAAGGATAAATTGTGGTTGTTCTCTATGTTTTCGCTTATTCCTATTTTCTTTTTCCATTATATCTCATTTTAAGCATGTCTAATGGAGAATTGTTTTACTTAGAACCCTTTGGAAACAGAATTCTTCACAGAGTATGGTGAGGCGAGCAGATATCAAGTTCAAGAAGTCATTGGCAAAGGTAGTTATGGGGTTGTGGGTTCTGCTGTTGATACCCACACTGGAGAAAGGGTTGCAATCAAGAAGATCAATGATGTTTTTGAACATGTTTCGGATGCCACTCGGATATTAAGAGAAATAAAGCTCCTTCGACTTCTCCGACATCCTGATATTGTAGAAATAAAGCATATTATGCTTCCTCCTTCTCGGAGAGAGTTTAAAGACATTTATGTTGTTTTTGAATTGATGGAGTCTGACCTTCACCAAGTAATAAAAGCAAATGACGATCTTACACCTGAACATTATCAGTTTTTCCTATACCAGCTTCTTCGTGGTTTGAAATATATTCACACAGGTTTCTGTAACATTATATCCTCACTTGTATTTAAGGTCCTCACTCCTCACTCCTCATTGATCATTGATGTGTATATTTCATTTTCTTTGCAGCGAATGTGTTTCATCGAGACTTAAAGCCAAAAAATATCCTTGCTAATGCTGACTGTAAGTTGAAGATCTGTGATTTTGGGCTTGCTCGTGTATCATTTAATGATGCTCCTTCAGCTATTTTCTGGACCGTACGTTTGAGTTTTACTGGACCTTCTTAAATCCATTTCTACAAATTTAATCTCCCAAGGACATACTCTAAATTGCTTCTTACCTTGTTGTTTCTCACTATTTTTGTTTCACTTGCTGAAGGACTATGTTGCAACTCGATGGTATCGTGCCCCTGAACTTTGTGGCTCCTTTTTCTCCAAGGTAAGATGGATTTATAATAGATAACCTGGCACTTAGTGGAAATACCTATAGCTGAAATGACCCTAATTTTTGTCCTTAGGTGTGCTTTGCTTTGTCATAATTGATTTTAATAGGGCTAGGAAGTGTTATTTAAGGCGTAAAGCGAATCGTAGCGAACTGGGCTTCTGAAGGTCTAGGCGAGAAGCGAGAAGCGAAGCGAGCGCTTAATTGAAGTAAAGCAAACATTATAAAAAATAAGCAAATATTTTAGTTTCATATTTTGATTACTCCTAAATATTCAAATTTTAACTTTACAAATACAAAATATTTAAATGCAATCAAAATAATAAATATCAACATATTTTAAATAGACAATATATTAAATATTGAACAATATTGTATTTTAAAAATAATCAATTGACATAATCACGTCATCTAAATGTAAAGCTAACAAATGTGGGTTCAACTTTCACTGTAATTGATTAATATCACTACTAAACAAAGCACTCACAAATTAATTAATCAAATAGAGCATATAGCAAATTGATTAATCAATTTGATTAACCAAATAAATTGATTACCAAGAGTATTCACATCAAAACAAAGCGTTTAACATTATTTAATCATAATAAGACATGTTGTCATATGATGCTGTTACACGAATTAATCAATTTATTTTATATATATACGCATATAACATTATCTCTGCTAGGTTTTGGTTAATGTTAAAGAAGGAGGAGGAGGAGGAGAGGAGGAGGGGAGGGAGGAAGAGGAGAAGAAAATACAAAAATTGCAGGTAGGCGTTCGCTTTTCTCGCCTGGCTCGCTTCGTCGCTTAAAGTCACTTTTTTCTCGCTTTACTTAATCTTGCTTCGCCTTGGATGTTCAAGGCTCGCTTCGCTTTGCTTCTCGCCTAAGCTCGCTTTTCACAACACTGGGGCTAGGCACTTGACTTCTTCCATTTTGTTCATCTTCACATCCCCCTCCCTTTCCTTCTTGGTCTTGTCTAGCAATGATAATTGCGGTTCAAATTTGCTATTTGGAGAAGCCAGATTCTCATAGGCTGTCTAGGAAAACTTAAATGCTTAATTTAAAAAAAACAAGATTCTTGATGTAATTTTAGGTCTTAGTTATCTTGGTAACATTTCTAGTAGTTAATATCAATGAAGCACAAACATTCTCAAGAAGGTGACGTATTCATGTCGGACGAGTCAAACACTCTTGTATCCATGTCTATAATTACATGATAAAATCTTAATTTCAGACATATGTTCGACATTTCTTTTGTGATGTGTTCGACACTTCTTTGGTGGCCTGTTTGACACTTGTTTTATTAAGTATCTTATACTATGAGAGAACATATAATTGTCAAGACTAGACATGTTAAAGTTATATTCAAAATATAATAACCAAAGCAAAAGATATATAAAAGATTTATAAAAGAGCAATTGAGATGGGAGCAATCATTTAAACTGTATATGTTTAGTACACGTCTATAGGGAAATTGATTAGTGTTTATTATTATGATGTTAGTCTAAACATTCACACTAAATGACTAGGGATAACAGTTACCTATCATAAAATACTTAATTTTTTTTCATGAATAATATATCATTATTATTATATTTGTGATAAATTATATAATTTTATATATAAAACAAAATTATCTGTAACGTGTTTCCAACGTGTCTGTGTTTTATTTTTTAGAAAAATTTCGTGTCGTATTGTGTCCATGTCCATGTTTTTTAGGTTAATATCACCGAAGTTCAATTGCGGTTATGTTGGACTATCTTCTGTGGAATGAGCAGCATGCAGAGAGGAACATGGTTGCTGTGGTGATTATATTGTTTCAATCATTTCATGTTTTGAACTAACATAGAATTCTAAAGTATTTTCTGTTTGCAGTATACTCCTGCAATTGATATTTGGAGCATTGGATGCATATTTGCTGAGATGCTTACTGGAAAACCATTGTTTCCTGGGAAGAATGTGGTACACCAATTAGATCTCATGACTGATTTGCTTGGCACTCCTCCTGCTGAATCCATTGCTAGGGTTTGTTTTCCAATTCCAATATCACTCTTTTGATCAATTGAAAATGACTTGTAATTTTCAAGATGATGTTTTCTGCATTAGTTATTTCATCCTACTTAAACCTTGTGTGGAAGTATGCTCCCATATTTGTTTCATTCCTTGGGAATTGGAAGTGAGCTACCTGGCTTCATTGTCTTGGTCTTACCTTGTTGCTATCATCTTGAGCTGTGGATTTATATTGCCGGTTCCTCTTAAATAATTGTTGTTTTATTGATAACGGCAGATTCGGAATGAAAAGGCCAGAAGATATCTCAGTAGCATGCGTAAAAAACAGCATGTTTCATTTTCGCAGAAATTCCCCAATGCAGATCCGTTGGCTCTTCGGCTACTGGAGCGAATGGTTGCATTTGATCCTAAGGATCGACCATCTGCTGAAGAGGTAGGTTTTGGACGCTCCAATACTACAGTATCTTTTATATTTTTTCAGATATATAGGGATTCACATTAATCTACATAAGAAGGGTCCATTGTCATCCTAATATTTTTTGTCCGGTGTTTGCAGGCATTGGCTGATCCTTACTTCAGTGGTTTGTCAAATGTGGACCGTGAACCATCCACTCAACCCATATCAAAACTTGAGTTTGAGTTTGAAAGGAGAAAATTGACAAAAGATGATGTTAGGGAGTTAATATATCGAGAGGTATGACCTAGCAACATATCGTTGCTCTGACATTTTTTTCTTTGATTCTTTAGGTGTACTAATTATCAATTTGGCCTGGAGTAAACAGATTCTAGAGTATCACCCGCAGATGCTTCAGGAGTATCTTCGTGGTGGAGATCAGACTAGCTTTATGTACCCCAGGTCAGGACTTTTTTATGTTTTTTGAACTCATTTTATTTATATTTCGTAAAGAGCTATCGTGCAATATTTGCTTGTTTTATTGGTGCATGTAATGTACTGCTGGTTTTATTACCTCTGTAGCTCAAGTTGGTACCAAATTTGAATTTACAAGCAGGCATTTCAAAAATGGAGGTCATGGGAGTGAATTTTATTTTTTCGAACCTCGAATTGTGGGAGAAATTTTATTAGAAGAAAATAAATCAGGGGCCGTAATGAGCCTTACCCCATAGAGCTAATATAGTGGAAGATAAAATTTAAATACAATCCAATACACGAGATACAGCATAGTTTAAAATGAAAACTAGTAAAGCTAAACATAACTCTGTTAACTAATCGGAATGAGAAATCCGGTTGAGAGGTCCACCAAGAAAGTCCAGGAGAGGAGATGCCAAAATTAGCAAGCTGATCTGCCACTTGATTCTCTTCTATGTTGATGTGAGTAACTTGGATCCTTGCGTATCTGTTGACGACAAAGTCTCCATCTCCTCAACATCCATGGAATAAAAAGCTGACCTGAAGCTAATAATAGCAGGTTATAGTTTGAGTCAAAGTTTGTTTTAACCACGGGACCAAGGAATATTTATATGTTAAATAAATGCCCTCAATTGGGGATTAAATTCTACTACACCCAAGCAACTTCATGAAGCACTGTCTGTGTTAAGTTCTAACTTTTAACCATACAGAAGGAAGCTTTTGCTTCAAGATTTCCTGGATGACTGGGGCCTTGCAAGGATAACAGTTTATACCCATCTGCACCAGATTCATCTTCTGAAATGAACGTCCATCGTAAAGCTAGGCCTGCACACTCAAGGGTTGGGGAAACAGCAACTTTGTTGGATGATCAAAGCAATGTGTGAGGTTTTCAAATATGCAATTGTTTCCTAATGTCTAAATCCAAAACAGCTGACACTAGCAATGATAGCTACGTCTTTAATTTGCATTCTGAAACTCTAGTTCTTAAGTAGAGCAAGTAGATCCATGAGTGAGTTAGCATCAAAATTCCTGCAGAAATATAGCCTCAGCAACACTAGAGACATTATAACTCAATTAGTGATGGTGTAAGTCCTTTTTAGTAGTAGGAGATGGATAAAGAGATCCGCAAGAAGCCATCCCCCATGGTTTTAAAAATCGGAACGACCGTTACGTAACGGGAACGGCGGCCTCTGATATCTTTACACCTTGATTTAGCAGTAAGAAATTATTTCACACATGTACCGATCATTCCAGTGGCGTAATGGGATGTAATGGGCATTACAGATCGTTATAGTGTAATGCCGGCTTAACAGTTAACAACCTATTTTTACCTTGCACAGTTAATCTGTGGCTGATTTTGCTAGAAGAGATGACCGTTGCAAGAGACGTCGAAGCTAGAGAAACAAGATGGAAACCACGTGGTTGGTTGACTAACGGGAATGGTGAAAATTAAGTGTAACATGTACTTCTACAACCTATTGAATTAGTCGTGGTTGATGCATTATGAATAAATTGGGTGAATGAACAAATGACAAGTGTCATATTTCTTACCATATGAAGGAGTGGATTTGACTAGAGTAAAAGTTTGTGCAATTGTGGGACCCTTTTCTCCTACAAATTTTGGTGCTATAGTTTCGGTTTGCAATTACAAAGCATTTTCATCCTAATAATCTACTGGTTGATAGTGACACATGCTTACCTGATTCAAGTACAATTTTCAAATGAATGGCACGATTTCAAAGGCTCTACAAACATATTGCTTAGATTAATTATCCTCTATTTTCCATTTAATTTGGATTAATTAACTAAATTAGCATGTGAAAATCATGCAAACAATAAGAACATTTATTATAAATTACAAAAAAAATTGTGCTTATTTCATTTTGGACCTAAAACATGCAAAGATTTAATTTTTGTCAATAGGGGTGAATGTAATACAAAAATTTATGTCTTTGGTTTCCGTTACTGTTACGTAACACCTGTTAGTTTGTTACACTGTTATCGATATCATTATATCATCTGTTACTGTTACCGCTATTTAAAGCCATGCCATCACCTCACCCTACTTTCAATGGTCATCATCTGTGGGTAGTTGTTCATGAAGGACACACTAAAATCACGCGGATCATCTTGGATGAATAAATATTGTCCAGATAATTTTTCCCATCAAAGAACAGGACATTCCACTTGGAAAAACTTGTATGCATCTTCAAATATCAAGGTTCTATCTTGTGAAGAGGACCACATTCGCCGATCATCTTCATTAGGAGTCCAGATTACTTCTATTTGTTGCCAAACTTGAGGACGTTGGGTATTTAGAACTAGGCAGTAGTGCCCAAGTACCTTCATCCTGAAAGTAATATGAAATCATACAATGCATCAGGGACAGGAGCTTGTAGTGACTATTACGACTTCTTGATAAAGGGTACCCAACCAGTTGTTAACACAAAGGCGAGTTGTTAGGCCATCACCAACAATCCACCGAGTTATTTTGAAATTCTTAAGTTGGCAAACATACTAGGCCATAAGCTAACAAATAGGATAGAGGTTAGGTTTCAAAAATATAGATCGAAGAAGCATGCTCATTACTCTATAGATGTAAAAAACTCCTTTAGTAGTGGTAAAAATGGCACTAAGTTAATTTGCAAAAACATTTGTGAACCAAGACTCCCTTCCGTTTTAAGCGGTCAACTGTGGCCACTTTCTTTTTATAAATGTCTTTAAACCAAATGAGGTTCTGCTCTCATATGTGGAAGTCCTTGAGAAGGGAAACATGCCAAGAATAGATTATCATTGAATAACATATCATACCTGAAATAATATCCTTAATGAGTACAACTCTATCAACCAAACGAAGATAATGACACTCCCACGAGTATAATTTAGCCTTGAATCTATCTACAATGGGCTGAAAAAATGGTCGCTTTACCTTGATCGGAAAAATTGGATCCCCTTAGGATGTAAAAGGTCAACAACCTTTCTATATGGCCAATAATAATGTAATAATAGGTATATTTCATGGTGCTCTCACCCTCAATGAAGACTATTGAATTAGGCTTGCTAACAATTTGGCTCGAGGCCTCATCATAGGTATCAAAATAGTGGAGTAGTTACTGGTACTCATACAAGTATCTATACAAAGTGCAATGATGTCATCCGTGAACATAATCTAAGTAGGAGCTGGAAACCACGAGGGAAGATATTTGTTGTAACTTCCTTTTTCCACAATATGATAAATTCCATGAATGATAAAAATCATGAATACATATGAGAAAGGGGTAGAACATTCTCTCTATCTCACCTCACAAGAGAATGGAAAAATTGGAAACCATTCAACAAGATAGGTATCTTGGTTGAGTGCAAAATAATTGATCGAGGGTATAAACTTCATTAAATTGAAATCCTTTCTTCAGCATCAATCATGATATATGTCGAATCGATCTTGTTGAAGGGTGTAAAAAAATAACTAAGAGACTCCATGTCTAGGGAGTTGAAGCACTCAGATGCTAAAATTTTTATTATCACCTTGATGAGGAAATTTGCAAGTGCAATGGGTCTGAATTGGTCAATGGAATTGTCTCAAGTGTCTTTGGAATAACAACCAAGAAAATAGAGTTCTTATTTGAGTAAACCCATTCGATAGGAAAAAATTGCAGATGTTGAGTTACATCTACGCCCACAATGTCCTAAAAAGAATGGTGAGAAAGACACCTAAAAACTTATAGATCAAGAGCTTTGGAGGGGTCCATGGAACAGATTATTTTTAACTTTCATACCCAATGGGACCATGATAAAGAAGAGGTTATCCTCTGTTAGAGACCAAACTTGCAATTAGATGTTCCACTAATCCATTATCCACAGGCCGATTTTGTTCCATTTAAAGATTGGAAAACAATAGCATGGGTTTCCATTTGAGCTCAATCTTCAACAAAGTTGTTCTTACTGCGAAAATACAAAATTCTTCCTCAAGTATCCGGTAGTTTGTGTACTAGTTCAAAAGTTGTTTTACTCTAGTTTTTTTACCAGAAAATTTCTTGGATCGTGAGAATAGAAAGAACTTCAGTTTGATCTTCTTTTACTTTTACATTGCTTCTCAATTTTCGGTAGGAGCTAAAAAACTACTGGGGAAGATATTAGTTGTAGTTTACCTTTTTACACAAGATGACAAGTTCCATGAATGAAAAAAACTATGATTCTATGTTTGTTCCCAGCCTTGCTAAAGAGAAAGGGTTTGAGCATTCTTTCTATATCACCTCACAAGTGCATGGAAAATTCAAAAATCATTCAACATGACCGATTGCTTGGTTGAGTGCAAAATAATTGAAATCCAAGGCATAAACCTTCACTAAATCTAAATCCTTGAGAACTTGGAGTAACAAAATCCCTATCTTGAGGGTTAATTGCTTGCAGACGTCAATCTTGATATATGTTGAACTTGTTGAATGGTATTTAAACTTAAGAGAGGCTGGTAAGGGAGTTGAAGCACTCTTATGCTGAATCTTTATTGTTACCCAAAATAGGAAATTTGCAATTGCGGTGCATTTGAATTAGTCAATGGAATTTGCCTCAAGGGTCTTTGAAATAACAACTAAGAAAGTAGAGTTCATATTTGAGTAAACTCATCCGGAAGAAGAAAAAAACTTGCATAAGTTGAGTCACATTTGTGCTCACAATGTCTCAAAAAAATGGTGAGAAATACTGCCAAAACCTTTCGTGCCAAGAGTTCTGGAGAGGTCCATCGAAAACATTGTTTTTAACTTTCATTTCCATTGGGAACTTTTCAGGGAGAGGTTATCCTCGTTAGAGACCAAGCTTGCAATGAGCTATTCCACTAATCCATTATCCACAAAGCTGATTTTATTCCATATAAAGATTGGAACAACAATAGCATGGGTTTCCATTTGAGCTTGGTCTTCAAGAAAGTTGCTACCACTACGGATGTAAAGAATTCTTCCTCAAGTAGCCTGTATGTTTGCTAAGGGTTGAAAAATGTTGTTTGCTTTTTGATCACTAGCTCTAAGGCGTTTTAATCTAGTTATCTAGCCAAAAAACCTGTTGGGCTTTTAGAACAGATTGAACTTTTGTCACCCTGACAATTATTTGCTCCTGAATATTCGTTGGGAGCTAGAAACCACGAGGAGATATTATTTGTAGCTTACCTCTTTAGTCTTTACACAAGGTAGCAAATTCCACGAAAGACAAAAACCATGGTTATGTTCGTCTCTTGCTAAGAAGCACGGACACGGATATGGGACACGGATACGGGACACGGATATGACACGACATGGGCACACAAACACGACATTTTTCGAAAAAAGTGGGATGTGAACACGTTGGGGATACATTATAAAAAATTATATTTTATATATAACATTATAATTTATTGCAAATGTAGTGATAATGATATACAATTCATAAAAGATTCAATATTTTATGATAAGTAAATCTTTTGTGTAAACTTTTAAGCTAAAGCTTCATCATAATAGTCAATAATTATCAATTTTTTTTTCAGACAATGTGTACTTAATATGTAATTTGAATAATTACTTTTATTCCCGCAATTCCTCGTTTTTTAAACTTTTATTTTTATTATTATATTTGGACTACAATTGTAACATATCTAGTATTAGTGATTTTATGTTCTTGAAATTTTAAACTTTATTAATCACATTTCAACACATGTTTATTGTTTAGTAGTAGAAACGTTCTAAATAAGTATCAGATATGTCACCAAAGAAGTGTCGGACACTTGTCTGAAATTAAAAAAAAATTATTTATTTATGGATACGGATAAAAGAGTATTGGATATGCGTCTGAGAGTGTTCAAAGAGTGTCGGTGATTGACACAGATACGTCACCTTCTCGAGAGTGTCCGTGTTTCATAGGTCTCCTACCAAGCTAAAGAAAAAAGGGCACAACATTCTCTTTATCTCACCTCACAGTGGCATGGAAAAATTGAAAACCATTCAACATGACATCTTGGTTGAGTACGGAATAATTGAGATCCAAGGTATAAAACTTTAGTAAATTGGAATCCTTGACTTTGTAGTTTACACACAAAAAAAAAAAAGTCAAAATCTTTGAGAACGCGGAATAACAAAACCCCCATCTTAAGTGTCAAAGGCTTGAAGGGAGTTGAAGTACTGTTGTTGTTTTGGGAGTGGAAGAAATGAAGTGGATTTTTTCTCATGATTATACACATCGAGCACACGACACTCTCAAGATGGGGGTGCATAGGTTTTTTAATTTTAACATTGATTACCAATTAAGACCTTGTAATTACCTTTCTTACTCGAATTTAACAATGAATACAGAAAACCTTTTTAATCACCACAAACCTTTAAACCCATTATGATTGATGTTAGTTAATTGTTTAATTTATTTACACACGCACTCAATCTCACGAGCATTCTAAAACCCAAACCCAATTGCAATTATAGTTGATTTATGTATCAAACATTTAAATCATCAAACACAGTGCGCGTGTGTGCAAACAATCGCAAGTGTATATGTAAATAAACAATATGAACATAAGTGATTTGTTGACGCAGAAAACCTTCCTTGGGAAAAATCGCGAGGAACTACTCGGGATTCACCAAAACCTAATCCATTACTCATAATATCAATCTACAAGTATTTGAATCTTATACCTCAGCTAATACCCATGGTTAGATGCTCTTTTCCTTCGTAGATCTTTTCGCTGAAATCAAATGGAGAGGAGAAAGTTGTTTCACTCTCGTTTGAATCTTGTTCTAATCACTAACTCAAGGATGTTTCACTCTATTTATCTTGCAAAAAAACTTCTTGGGTCTTGAGGATGGAAAGATCTTTTGTTTGAGCTTTTTTTTTTTACCTTTGGTAACCATTTGCTCCTGATTGTCCAATGGAGAGGAGAAAGTGGAATCAACAATAACTTGAATATTCCCAAAAACCTCTTTCTTCTATGTTTGAAACAAAATTTCAACCATTTATGATTTTGAATGATCGTACACGTGGGGCATCCATAAATAGGAGTAGAGTCCTAGGCTTGCTTGGTCAATGCGTTTCATGTAGGGCCCGACTACTTTGAAACCAAAAAAGGGACAAAATGTATTAGGCTAGGCATCAACCCATTTCATTGAACCTATACTTTTTAGCCAACTGCATTATCTATGTAGGATCACACCCCTCTTCTATTCGATCATGTAAAAGGCCCACCCTTGGTGTCAAAATTAACAACTCAATGGTATTAATCAATGATAAAAAATTCCTTACAGGAAATAGAATTTTGCAGAATACCTTCAGGCTTTTCATGTGCACCAAAAAACAACTGTGAAATCATCCATAACAAGTCAAGCTCATGAGAAGGCATCCATACTATTTACAAGGTCCAACCAAAGGTGGGCAACATTGGGAACTAGCACACACAAAATGAATTTGACACAAAACACTCTTCTCTCTAAGCAGAATAGTGACGTGTGAAAGCACTAACAATATTGGGGAACACATTAAAACACCCCATTGATTAATTGGGGTAATTGTAGGTGCCCCCCAACTGTGTCCTATAAGAAGCATGAAATAAAGTAGAACCAACCTTTGGTTTTAATAAACATGGAATATCCAAATAATGATGGAAGAAAAAACACTTTACGATATAGGGATATTATATTTCAATGAACAGTTCGCAAAGTTGGCTAATGAGATGAAATGCATGAAAACATGGTAGATTTCAGTTTGTCTCAGATTCAATGTCTAAGCTCAAAGCCACCTCCAAGATTTATTTAATACTTGAACTAAGTTCACATGGTGAGCCAAATGCATCTCTAGAAACATCGTCTACCATTTGATTTATTAGAGATTGCCACCATCAACAACATTTCATAACCATTTGGAGGTACTAGTTTGCAAAGTGAACAAATGAGGTGCTGAATGGAATTAAGTGAAGAGAATTCGGTTTGCATTCTTAATAAAGAGGAAGGGGAGGGGTGGTTTTGATTTTTTTCGATATTGTGCTTACAAATAACAAAACAAAAATGGAGGAAGAAGGTGGGAGAAAAAGTCATAACGAAAGAGAATGAAATGAGTGTGGTGGATTGGATTGAAGATGTTGGTGTTGGGTGGTGATTTTAAACGAAGATGGATCTTGAGAGAGATGATGGTGGGTTTCTGTGCAGATAGTTTATGGTGGAGATTGAAAGTTGGTGGTGAATGGTGGTTGCATGGAGATATTGTTGATATGGCAATGATGGTGGGTGAGAATAGTTAGTTGTTCTTGATCGTAATCACCTTTGTTGCATTCCCTTTGGATCACCCGAGTCTTGCTCGTGCCTATAGTTCATGGGGTTTTAGTGGAGCTGGAAAGTGAAAATGTCATTGGTAGTTTTTTTGAATGGTGTGGGTTCGGTAAAAGGATGTCACAGTGATTTGGAGTGTCACTTGTAGGGGTTCCAATTAATGATTGAATGATTTGGATGGTGGTGGTGGTGCAGTGCTATGATATGGTCTGGAGTATGGAGGAGGAAGATAGATGCGTGGGGCATTGGGTATGGGCAAAGTTTGGTGGTTGTTACTAGTGTGACTTAGCTAAAAATTGAATGATTTGGACAATGGGGATGGATGTGGTGGTGGTGCAGTGATATTATATGGTATGGAGTAGGGAGACAGATGCGTGGGCATTGGGCAAAGGGCATAGTTTGGTGGTTGTCATTGGTGTGACCATGTTGATTGGAGATGTTGGGTGGCGATGAGTTCTCAAAGATACAAATTCTCATTTGGATAGGGTTGCATGAATTTGTTGGCTTCCTTAATAACAAGACGATGCGTGTAATGTGATGTATTTTTCATTTTTATCTCATTTTTTCAATGATTGTATGAGGGCAGCTTATTGTCATAGGTGGATGTGCGTTTAAATAGGGGTGTGCAAGAATTTGAAAATCCGTCTCCTACTTCGATCTGACTTCGTCTCTAACTTCGGTCTGACTTTGTCTTTGTCGAAATCGGAGTTGGAGAAAAATTGCAAAATCTGATTGGAGTTTGAAGGCTTGTCCGAAGAAACTCTGATTTCGATTTTGACCTTTATTAATAAATAATTTTATATAAATTATAAATTATAAATTACATTATATATTATTATAATTTAGATCCTATCTTCTAATACTTAGTTCTAAGCCCAATCCTATCAAATTTTTTAGCCCTTAAGCCCATTTAATATTATACTCTATTCCGGCATTCAGCCCCACCAACTCATCAAACTCGTCTCTCACACACACACACATTGTCGATGACAACTACAACCCCTCCATCTTCGTCTCTCTCTCTCTCTCTATATATATATATCTATATATATATATATATATATATATATCAATGAAAGACGATCGTTTGACGACAACCTCTCCTTCTCCGACGATAGCCTCTCCATCTCTCCATCTCTCTCCCTCATAGTTGATGAGTATATCTCATATGGAATCACATATTTGAGATCTGAGATCTCAGCAAACCAAGTCTGTGATTTCAAGTTTCAATGAATAGATTTCAGCAAAGCAAGTCTGCGATCGAAGCTCTCTATTTCGATGGTCTCCAACTCTCGGACAGTAACCCCCCCTCTCTCTCAAATATATATATATATATATATATATATATATACATATATATATATATATATATATGTAGTGGCAAACACTTCTAAATTTTTGATGGTATTTCTTGATATTTTTGGATTGTGTCAATTTCCAAATTCCGCACCGTCTCCAACAAGCGGTGTCAGAAACGGAGATATAGTAGTTCGGAGTTCGGAGTCGGAGGAACAAATGCACTCCAACTGAAGTTGTAGTCAGAGGTCGGATGTGTGCACTCCGATTTTGTTGGAGTCAGTGTCCAGCCCTACCTTAAAACAAGGGAAAATAAAGGGCAGGTTTGTGTGGTTTTCTGTTTACCCTCATTCCCACGAGATTAAAATGGATTGGGCAACTTCCCTAGCCAATTAATGATTTGGTTTGTTTAATTTGTGTGATTTTAATTGTTGAGGTTGCTTTATGAAGTGTAGTATCTAATATCAGCCACAAAAGTTGTTCTTAGCTTCAAAAGCTGTTCTTACTAGGAATTCTTCGTTGAAGACTACCAATTGTAGGAGTGCAACCTCGGTGGGTTGGTACAAAACTCGTGACCGGAGTGGCACCTGAATCCAATTTCAATCCGAGTATTGTCTATGTTTAAAATTCTAAACTCTGGATTACACAAATTGGGTTGAAATCTGGATTTAGTTTGGGCTTAATGTTTGGTCTGATTCTGGTAATGCTATTCAGGTTTGCTGTACAATTTGATGGATTGCTCCAAATCATTATACATGATTTTTGAATTTTTAGAAGGAAAAGAATTCCAAAGTTTAGAGGAACCATTAGTATTTACGTCAGATAGATTTTGTCTCAATTAGTGAAAATGATTTGAGGAGATTTACAAGGAAGAGTTGATCTTGTGACACTCTATCATCTTCTCCTTTATTCTAGGATGTGTTAAGCTTTGCTTGAGCACTGAATGATCCGTCCAAAATATTCACCAGCACAATACTATACTTTCAGCACAGCCATTGACGTTGATATATACAAATTTGTTGGAGCCACAACAACAAAGGGCATATGGTAGAGAGAGTGAGAGAAGATCAAGTGGCCAAAGTAGGGAAGGGCGTGGTGGGCCCTCTTTTTTTTTTTTTTGGGGGAGGTGGGGGAGGAAGAGGGTGGCAAACATTTGTACTTGTATTATCATACCGAACCGCAGCTTTCATTTTCTTGGATATGTAGACTGCCTTGTTCTTCCGTGACAAATAAGAAGCATGTCGTTGGTGCATCAAATACTAGAATTTTATCCAATGTTTTGCTGTTACAAAAAACTTGTGGAACTGCTGTTTTTTTCCCAGACATTCTAAGCCATCTGCAGAATCCTGGAACTATTTGAATACATTTTCCACAATTATTCTATGCAATTCACTTGCATGTTACTAATTAATGTCAACAAAAAGGGTTGCTTCACGATATTCTTTGTTAAAATTTGCCATATAATCATCTAATGTTATTTTATTTTGTCTATTTAGTGGCGTTGATCGGTTCAAGCGGCAATTTGCCCATCTTGAGGAGCATTATGGCAAAGGAGAAAGAAGTAGTCCGCTTCAAAGGCAGCATGCTTCTTTACCTAGGTATGTTATTGAACAGAAGTGGGGGCTTTTTCTGTTACTTGGTGGCTGTTCAGGGAGCTGCAAAGTCTACTGCTTGAGAGATATGTTTCTAGCTGTCCATAAAGATATGATTTTTATTACCTACTCCACAACCCCAACGTATTTGCTGAAACATCATTTGTTCAGTTTTTCCACCACCAGCATAGCTTGCTGGTCTGATTTTATGATTTACCTTACAGGCCCTGGTCATACTAGTTTGATGATGTAGTAACATGCATTGCCTTTTACCTGTCTTTTGTTCAGAGAGCGGGTCCCGGCACCCAAGGATGAAACTACGGCCCAAAATAATGATTTTGAAAAGCAAACTGCAGCTTTTGTGGCTACAGGTCTTCAGAGTCCTCCAAGACAGGCTGCTGGATCAGAAAATGCACATATAAATGCACAAAATGGACCAATTAACCCAAATTGCAGTGCTCGCAGTTTGTTAAAGAGTGCTAGTATTAGTGGTTCCAAGTGTCTTGGCGTGGAAAGAAGAAGAAATTCAGAGGTAACATGCATTGCTTTGAGTTTTTCCTGTTTCTTCATTTTTCATTCACTATTTTACTGAAGCTAATGTTGGAAGCTCACTGGTATAGACAACTTTCATGAATCACAATTTTGGATGAAGGCATGCTGTAGAAAATCACCTCATTTCTAGAAAGTTGGTGTCAGAAACCAGTAGGGGGGGGGAGTGGGGAGTGGTGGGGGTTTCGAGGGTTTTTTTGTTTTGTTGTGGTGGGGGGGGGACTTATTGACTAATCTGATCTAACATACTTTAGAGGGTATCTAAATTATGATTTCATTGCATATGTGCTGGAATCTGAATTTTTTTTCCGTATCATTCATCGGATCATTTTTTGTTTTGGGTAAATATCATCAGATAATGATACAGCATATTAGGGTTTTGAGAAATGGGCTCATTCACTTTTTATTGATGATTATATACTTCCTTTTAGTGATTCTTTAAGCATGCTCATGTATATTTAAATGCTACAGGAGGCCAAAGGATTCAGTTTCACTATTATAAGACATTCATGCATCCCTCTTTCATTGTGATTTCTCTTACCCTGATTGTTTTCAATAATGACAATGTCCACTGCTGTTAACGGTGTAATAGGTGCTGGGTGCAATGGATGTTATGTAAAAGTAATGCAAACCAGAGGCATAANAACGGTGTAATAGGTGCTGGGTGCAATGGATGTTATGTAAAAGTAATGCAAACCAGAGTTATAAATTTTTTTCGGATTTACACTCTACCTCACAAATTAGAAGTATTCATTTTTTTTTTAATTCCATAGTTACTTGACATAGAGGTTTTTAGTTTGTTATAACGAGTTATATTGAATCATACTCACTTTTGGCATATTAAGTGAATCTAATTTTTAGTCAATGGTGAGTGTTATAGAGTCCAAAAAAATTGAATCACATGTCCGAAATAATGAGACAAAAGACTTCTATTGGCAAGTTATATTGCTACATGCATAGTAGAGAAGTTACTATGTCTATCACAAATTTAAGTACAAAGAATATAAAAGGGAGACCTAATTTTAATTTGCCCCTTTGACTTCTTTATAACAAGCAAGTTTAGAGAAAATCTAGCATACAAAATCGTTGCCCCACACAATAAAGGAAAGAGAAATTGGGAATGGTCTTGCACATCAGGTTGCCACATACGATCCATTCTTGGTCAACATGTGGCTTGCTAGGCAGCAGTTAAAGGAATGCTAATGTCTGAGGACTTCCACTAGGAACCGATCAAATGATCAGCAAAAAAAAAAAAGAGAACAAAAAAATTGAGTTGCTAAGTTTAAGAAAAGTGCGTCACACCAATTTGTTTGTAGCCAGGTGAAGAAAAGATTGGGAGACCAACGGTGTTGAGGTCTTTTGCCATTAGTTAGTCCTCAGCTGTTCCATGTTTTCTTGGATTTATGGTTAGTCCATGGTCAAATCTTCTACAATTGATGGATAATATTGTAGCTCTAAGGTGAAAACAAACTGAAAACACTGGCTGAGCTGCTCCATTTTCTGCTGAAAACTAGATCAAATTCGTGGGTTATGTAGTAACGCAGGTTTCTAGGTTGAAATGAATGTATACCCTACCTGTTATGGGCCTTTACTAACCTGTCATGGGTGTGAAAAAATTCTATGGTTATATTGGAGTGGAGTGGATTAGAGGCCTCCAATCCCGTTACGTAAAAGCACCTTTAAAAACCCCTCTTCCCCCCTTCGGTTCATAAGAACCAACACAATAAAAAAAAATTATAAAAAAAACCAAAAAAAGGAAAAAGAAAAAAAGAGGGCATAAAAAAGGCAAAATAAGTTACTCATACAAGACAACAATGAAAATAAAAATTGAAAAAAATTCACCAAAAGGGAAAGCCTAGATGGCAAAATTCATGTGCGTGCATCTATTGTTTAAGGAACCACCAATTTTTGAAGAACGAACTTACTTTAATATCTTCATTATATTTTGCAGGAAGAATCAATTGTAGAACAACATGAGGTTGATGGTTTGACCAAAGAAGTTGCGGCCCTTAAAGCCTGATTGTGCACTGGAGCAGTTAATTAATAGAGTTAGATGGTTTGAGTATGTGCTGTTCCCCATTTGTCCCCATTATGGTGGACCTTCATAACAACCTCTTCATTTCAGGTAGAACCTAATGGTGGGTTGTGTATTGCTATTATTACCTTTCATTCATATTCCAGTATTATGAAGAGGAAATGCTCGATTGTTTTTCCTGTTTACAGGTTGGAAAAGTAGTGTTGTCTTTTGTTCCATATCAGTGGCATAGAAAGTAGTTTGATGAAGAATTAATCATGAGAAAATGATAACAGTGATACCATTTACCAACTGTAGCAAGCAGATCATCAAGAACAATGAATACCTTAAACCATCCATTGATTAGTGCTGGATAGCTGAGTTATCTTTGCACTCTATTTTGTACAAGTGAACTAACATCATTAAAAATACGCAACAAAATTGGTATCAGCATATAGTTAAAACATCCTCATAAATACGCGACAAAATGGGCATCAGCATATAGGTAATACATTTGTGCACCTGTCTTGATATGAGAATTTATGCACAAAGAATGGTTTTTTCTTATTCCTTTTAGCAGATTTTACTGTTGAACTAAGTAGTTTCCCGAATCAGAGTTAGGTCGTTCAGTTAATGTAGTTTCATTCTGAAGCAATAGATATATTTAGTAGACAAAGCATATAAGTTCACCGATGCTTGGTTTGAACGTCTTCATTGTAGCTTTAAATGAGATCTGGAATTTGCCATAGCCTGCTTGTTTCACTGGATGAAAATGTTAGGACCTAGCAGGGGAGAATTCGTGTGGGGAGCATATTCAGGTTCTGCTAGCCTCTCAAATGTGAAAGTGAATGATAGCCTAATAAACATGGGTTTTGCATGCTGCTGAGGCAGTTTGCTGACAGAGCAAGGGTGTTCGTGTTTTTGTGGCTTAAATTAGAAGTGACAAGAATGCCGTAGCCCGGCTGTAATTTCTTTTTTTTTTTTTGGTTTTCGGAAGGTACCTGGCTGTAATTCAGGTGGGGATTTGGCACAGCAAAGGGCGAGTTGCTGTAAAGGGCGAGGTGTTGCCTGAGCTTATCCATCGTCTTGACTCAGATTCACACTTGTTTAGCATGACACGAGATAAGGAAATCCTGCAATATGTTGAGCATGCTTTAGTACGTTCATTCATAATGGTTGAAGCATAATACACTTCTCAAAATTGTATCTTCGAATGTTATTTTGTGGGCGGCAATGCAAACTTGAACAAACTTGGCGTATGTATCTACCTAGACCCAGCGGCAGAGCCAGGAGGTCTTCACAGTGGGGGCAACCATTATGTTGAAGAAAATATTTGGACGATCATCAATAAGATAGCTAGTTGGTTTACCTTAACAATTAAGGGATGCTAGGTGAATCCCTAAATTATATTAGTTCAACCAGCCATACTTGTCTCCGCTGCACCACCAGGACCAATACCTAGTTTTCAGCGTCGATCCGTAAACTTTTATTTCACATTGTCACTTGATAGTTCGGTAAGTCAAAGAAAGATTGAAATGTTTTCTCTTATTTGAAACATTGGGAAGTTCACGGGCCTTGGTAGGAGTTTCCACCTTTGTCCTTTTAGTGGGGGCTCCTAAACTCTTACTGTTTCAGTTTTTTTGGGGGATTTTGAGTATAATATATAAAGAAATGTTGGGTTTTTTCTCTTGCCTTCTCCGGAAAGAGCCTTCTCTCCCATCAGTAAGATACGACAAGTAAAAGTTAATGTAATGATATATATATGCAAGCNAAAGAAATGTTGGGTTTTTTCTCTTGCCTTCTCCGGAAAGAGCCTTCTCTCCCATCAATAAGATACGACAAGTAAAAGTTAATGTAATTATATATATATGCAAGTTAGGCCTCTTTCGTATTGAGAAAGTAAGGACGTTTTTGATTGAATGGAGACGGATATATACAAAGTGTGTCAGGCGTGAATCATAAGATTCTATAATAGTGCCAATATATTATTTTACTTAGCCTATCTCTCTCATGCCTTTTTGGGTTGGACCAACCAAACTGGCAATTTCTTCCCGAAAATGGATTGTAAGAACAAGTCTCTTTTTTTGGGGAGAGCAAAGCAATCGAAGAATGAATTGAATCTTCTTCGCCTCTTATCCCTACATTTTGCTATTTATAAGTTGTAGTTCACTTTGATGTTTCTAATTTTTCATAGAATCTTTGGAATTTCGTTTTTGAACCTTTTGAAAACATAAATGCAGATCTATTCCAAATGGTTAAACGAGAGTTAATTTTAATAAATTACATTTTAATTTCAATGTGATATCGTTAAATAATTACTCAACTTTTATAAGTATATTTGTATATATGTGGGTATGCATTTTATATATAAATGATATTGGATTATAATTGAATCCAATTTTTGTATATCTTTATCGGTATAAATTTGCCTCTAATTTTTTTTGGCAAACTTTTTAGTAGAGGTAAATTCTAAATAAGTTTAAAATTTTCAAAATTTTACATAAAACCCAAAAAATTTTAAAATTGGAGTGGGGCCGTGGGGTCGTTGCCCCCACCCTAAATTCACTTCCTAGACCATGAACTCATCCATTTCATTGAAATGTTTGAAGTGTAAATTACTAAGATGGTGAAGATGAAGGGAAAAATAATCATTTTGGTCATATGATTGTAACTGGAAGGTCCCTGCGATGCCTGAGATTTACACCTGGTCTGAATTCATATTATAAAAACAAATAGATTTGAGGCATAGATTTACGATTGGAATTAAAAAAAAATGGTTAATGAACTTTTGGCCAAAACAACAATTGTTAGAATTATGATGTGAGCATAATAACTATGAGTGTTGTAATCTAAAATTAGAAATAAAGCATGCAAATAGTGGTTAGATCATTAAAAATATAACATGCGATTTAAATGAATACAAAAAATATATAAACATGCAATCTATATAAACTAAATATATTGATTTGAAATGAGCTGACCTGCGAGTCCGAGAGACGTGTGATTATTGTTTTAAAACAGTTGAGTCTCCCCACATGAGGGTACTGATGGACACAAGAAATTCCAAAATTCAACTCAGACGCTCGTAGGAGCACTTTTTCGATGGTCATGCCCCACTGGAAGAAAAGAGTGAACTTGACACTAATCATGTTGCTGAAACACAAGAAAATATGACACTAATCATGTTAGAAATAAAGCATGCAAATAGTGGTTAGATCATTAAAAATATAACATGCGATTTAAATGAATACAAAAAATATATAAACATGCAATCTATATAAACTAAATATATTGATTTGAAATGAGCTGACCTGCGAGTCCGAGAGACGTGTGATTATTGTTTTAAAACAGTTGAGTCTCCCCACATGAGGGTACTGATGGACACAAGAAATTCCAAAATTCAACTCAGACGCTCGTAGGAGCACTTTTTCGATGGTCATGCCCCACTGGAAGAAAAGAGTGAACTTGACACTAATCATGTTGCTGAAACACAAGAAAATATGACACTAATCATGTTAGAAATAAAGCATGCAAATAGTGGTTAGATCATTAAAAATATAACATGCGATTTAAATGAATACAAAAAATATATAAACATGCAATCTATATAAACTAAATATATTGATTTGAAATGAGCTGACCTGCGAGTCCGAGAGACGTGTGATTATTGTTTTAAAACAGTTGAGTCTCCCCACATGAGGGTACTGATGGACACAAGAAATTCCAAAATTCAACTCAGACGCTCGTAGGAGCACTTTTTCGATGGTCATGCCCCACTGGAAGAAAAGAGTGAACTTGACACTAATCATGTTGCTGAAACACAAGAAAATATGACGTATTCGTAGTTGTACAGATAGATATATAAGGAAAAAATAGGTCGATATGAATATTAAATTGGATGAGACATAAACTGGGCTATGGGACAATCTAGTGAACTAGACCAAAAAAACTAGGAACTTAGAAAATTCAGATCTCTCTGTGTGTGTAGTAGTCTAGAATTGCTCTACCAAATGATTTATATAAGCACAAAAATAACTCATGAGTAAATTCTAGGTCTAAAAAGAATTTATTAGCCAACTTGAAAGGCATTTAGAATACTACCATTATGTCTTAAATGGATCATTTGAATTGGCACTAAAGTTGTGCAACATATGAAATAAAATATGTAATTACTAAAAATTAATAACCCGAAATAATTGAAAATTCAAAAAAATCGATGAAAATAAATCTGAAATTAACAAAATGTTTTAAATAACTTAATTTTATTGTTACAATCCCCTACAAGTTTTTGAAACTTTGAAATATTTTAAAATATTTATGAACATATATATACATAGAAAATAAGACAACTTTAATACTGTGCAATAGGTGTAGGTGTCTTTCAGACTTGAATCTCAGTGTTGACAGTTTTCCTCTAAAGGATCATAGTGACCAAGAGTTTGAACTAGACCATTTGGACTAGAGTTCAACATGTCACACACATAGTACCGATGTTCGTTAGGATTCGCGAGTCAGTGTTATTAATGACCATGTACTTGATCTTGATTCTCGTAAGAGTTTTTAGAGAAAAGCTCATTTCTCATAGTCACGGCCTCATGATGACTCTCACTTATGTGAGCCATCCAAGGATACATGTGCACAATTCTCTGCATGAGTGTTCTTGCTTCAGTCTCATTCAGGATAAAACCCTTCCTTACCATCATATTACATATGCACTTCTACCGTAAGGATGAGTAGGAAAAATATTTCCTCTTGGATATTTCCTAAATAAGAGTGTTAATGAGTCACACAGTATGAATTATTTTTACCCATTGAACTTCCTTCATGGGTTCTCCAATCACAAAAGTTGGGTTACCTCCTCAGGTGATTCCTTTCTGGGCTTAAGCCAATCCCCCTCGACAGTTCTGAGACTGCTTTCCTCGAAAACCCTTTAGCTAGCTGATCAGCTATATTTAGCTCAGATTTCACAAAGTCTAGTAAAATTATGTTTTTACTCAGCATTTTCT